TAATGGTACCTGGGTTTGGGGATGAACTGGGCTTGTTTTTAATGATAAAAATGGTAGTTTGCCTGGAGGCTGGGTTATATATGCTCTGCCTCCACTGTAAGTGGTTAGAACATTGTTCAAATGTAATTAGTTCCCATCCAAGCTACCCCATCATCTAAGGTGAAAGTTGTTCATGGTGCTTGAAGTCAGGTGCGCATGACCCAGGAAGACCTTCTGCTTCTCTCCAAGGTGATATTTTTGTGTATGTGGGTTGTTCGTACGGTTGGATGGCTGCTAATGTTTTCTATTGGCCTTGTTTGTATGAAAGCTTATATATATATGTGTGTGTATATAGGACACAAAAATGAGGATTCCTCCCATTAACTTGTATTACTTTGCTTGTTTTTGTTAACTGGCCCTTGTTGGTATCTCTGTTAAATTGATTATTTATTTCTATGAAGATGTAACATTTTCTCAGAGGGCCCTGAAGTGCTGGTGTTTTAAAATCTGGGTTTTAGTTTCATCTCTTCCCACCTCCACACCCCAGGTATATGAACTTGGACAGGCTTACGGATCTGCAGACTGATTGCAAGATTTGTCCCATGGTCAGGCTCTGCTCTCCCTTAGAGACTTGTGGGTGCTCTCTCTCCACTTGCAGTGGAGGAGAAAATGGCCCAGAATTCAACCATATATATTAGGGTTCAGCCAAGACAGACCCGAGTGAATGCTGTGTAGGGCATAGAAAGTGATTTGGCATCAGGAGCTACTCCACACATGAAGCTGGGAAGTCTGAGTGTCTGAGATTGACACCCAGGACACCCAGGAGGACCGAAGGCAGCATCCTGGTTTGTCAAAGAACCAGGGACTAGCAGAGGGGGTGGTTGATGTCCTTCTGCAGCCCAGGGCCTCTATACTTCGGAAGGAGTTGTGTTTTAGCCATGCTCAAAGGAAGTTAGGCCAGAGGAATTCTTTCTTCCATCCAGGGCTCTGTTTTCTGGTTTCTGCAGGCCTTCATCTGTGGGCACAAGGAGCCTACCCATACTAGGGAATACCCATACTAGTCCATCCACTCGAATGTTAAACTCATCCAAAACACATCAGAATTTGTTTTTCTTTTGTTTATTTATTTATTTTTTTGATTTTATTTTTTCTTGCCCCTCCTCCCTGGCAAAACAGGGTTTGTCTGTGTAGCCCTGGCTGTCCTGGAACTCAGGCTGCAGACCAGGCCAACCTCAGACTCAGAGATCCTCCTGCCTCTGCTCCCCAGTACTGGGATTAAAGGTGTGTACCATCACTACCCTCATTTTATTTTTTCTTGAGTCAGGGATTGAACTGAGGGTCTTGAACATGTTAGACCTCCATTGAGCCACATACATCCCAAGCCAAGAATAATGTTTGCGCAAGTATCTGGACACCCTGTGCACAATCCAGTCGAACAAACATGTGAAATTAACTAAAGACACAGAGCCAATAGGAGGTACATATAGTTCATGTTGTACATATAATAAAAAGAGTCTTCATATAAGGAATTGGCTTGCACAGTTATGAAGGCTGGGACTTTTCTGGAGCCAAAAGTAAAGCTTAAGCCCCCCTCCCCCACAGCTTAGTAGATTGATTCAGATTCCAATAGCAAACAGTTGTTGGCCAATTTCACTCTGATATTATTCAATGCAATATGTTTCTGAATGTTTCAGTGTTTTTAGAGCTTGTTGGTTTTTTCAGTTTTGTTTTGTTTTTTAAATTGTTGTCCAGCTCTTTTTCTCTGTATTTCCCATTTGTGTGCGTACGTGCGTGCATGCATGCATGCATGCCTGTGTGTGTGTGTGAGTGTGTGGGCGTTTCCCAGTAAAGCAGTTTGTATATTTGAACTTGCTGGCTTCCATTTTATCACATGACTTTGACTATCACCAGCATCTTATGGAAGGAGGCAGTAAGGTCACAAGGAAGTATGATATCGGAATATGCAAATACTGCTGGACTTGTGGGCGTTTCCTGTAGCTGTGTACAGATCTGCCTAACACACCATGTTGTTAGGTGTTAGGCAACTAAGCCCTCCGTCCCCTCCAGCCTGCCTTCCGTATTAGCATGCTACATGCTACAGCCCCTTAATTCTGTCTTCCTTCTCTGGAAGAAACGTCCCTTCAGAAATCCACCCACATCTAGGCAGTGTTTTCCCGAGCCAGGGCCACTGCCAAGGATATGCGGCTCCCACTTCTGGATCCACATTCCCAGTTTGGTCAGGCCTGCAGTGGCTTCGATGGGGACTCTAGAGGCCAGAAGGAGAGCAGGGCGGCTCTGCCCCGTGTGTGGTAGACCTCTCAGGTGCCCTCCAACCCTGAGGCAGGAGGGAGCTCACAGGCCTGCGCTTACTTCTCTACAGTGTCTGACCCCTTTCTCTTCACTTTACCACTTAATGGTGGACAGTTCCTGAGCTCAGTCCACCATGACTGAAGTGCTCTATTCCCAATTTCTTCTTCTCTCTTCATCCCTAAGGCAAGCTGCCTGAGAACATGAATATGCAGATGTCTAACTGAAAAGTCCAGGGGAAGGAGACGGCTCCTGTGGCTGGATCCAGGGGCCCTTTGCTCTGCTGTCGTCCTCCAAGTTGACTTCATTACACAGAAGCTTATTCAAGTCCAGAGAGATCTTACCTTTGCCCTTCAGTGTCGGTGATTCAGTTTTGAGTCGGCATCTGTGTTACTGTGTGCGGGGTGGGTGCACACGAAGCAAACCTGTCCACACCTCAAGCTGGGGCAGCAATGCACTCTACCTAAGCTAGCTTCACAGAGTCAGGCTAGTGTCTCCTAAATAATGTAAGATTTTATTACTGGAGAAACCAGGAAAGGCCGTGGAACACAGAACCCAGCAGCTGCTGGGATCAGCATTCATCATTCTTAGCACCCGCTTGAGCTTTGTGCTCCTCGCCTGCAAAGCCCTTCCCTTCCCTTATGTTCATGTGTACGTCCAGAGCTTCCTCCGACTTCTACATCCTAACATTTTTAAGGAGTTTATAATTCATTCTATTCTATGACAATATTAGAAATGAATGTCTTAAAGACATTGGATAAAGTGGGGATAAGGTGAATCCTGCAAGTTCAAAGCTGTTGGCTCATCAGAGACAGGGAATATGACCACCAAATTTGGCTCTGAGATTCCCTGACTCCTAAGCATGGGAGGAAAAGTATCTAGGGTTATAGATAGAGGTGTGGGGGCGGGGGAGAGGTTCCTCTAAGAGGATGGGATGGGCGGCGAGGAAGCATCCATGGAAGGTAACAGAGACAATGTACTTGAAGGCAGCCCTGCTCACTGTGTACCGCTCCTATTTCTTTTCCAAGCTCCCTTCTCCAGCCCCTTGCCCCTGGGATACTTGCTTTTGTGGTCGTTCTTTGTTAGCCAACAAAGCAAGGAGATAAGCATTAAGCCCTCACATTGCTGGCCTCCTTCCAGCAACACCTGGAGAGTTCACCGTGCTGCCCTTGAAGGCGGCACTCAGGTGAGTCCGTGCCGTAGACACAGCTGATACGGTCCCCTCCACTGTAAAGCTGGGCTGATCTTTCAGATGGGCTCACACGTCCTGTGACTCATCCCATTTACCAGTGAGTACCGTGAAGATCCTGCTTCCCAGATGGACATCAGACAGCCCCATAATAGCCAGTCAGTGCTCCTGCTGGCCCTTAGCTGTTGTTCCTGGACAGGTCCCCAGTGTCCAGCAGTTGGTAGCCCTTTGTCACCTGGGGAGCTCAGTTTGCCTGTGGATGGCTATAATACCTGAAAGCAACCCAGAGCGTATGGAAAGATGGTGTTATGATGGCCTTGTAGGCTGCTCCAGGGTGTGGCTCCCAATCTTTATTTTTATTGATTTGTCTTCCAGAATTATCTGTAGTCATCTGGGCTAGGTGAGTTTACTCAGTCCATTTTTTCTTTGCAATGAACATAAAAAGGTATCGTTACCCTCTTCCTTCCCTCCCTCCCTCCATGCTGGGGATAGAGCTCAATGGCAGAGCTCTCACATAGCATGTGTAAGACCCTGGGTTCAACCCCCAGGAGCACCAGTCAACCAACCAACAAACCTGAGAAAACCAGAATGGCATTTGTTCTTTTGAAGTAGCCCTTCTTCACACCCCTAAATTCTATCTCTAAATTCTCTACCTTGTAAATGGAGCTGTAACAAACTTCTGACCAGGCATGTGGGTCTACACAGCGGCCGTTTGCTGGAGTTGACTAAGCACAGTCCATACTGTCCCTCTAGCTGTGTGACCTTGGGCATGCTCCTTAACGTCTCTGAGTCAGTTTCCTCCTCTGTGAAATAGGCAGAAGATTCTTGCCCCATGTGGTGGTTGTGGGAGTTAATGGGTAGTCAGCACGACCCTCTCTAGGGCCTGGGTGGAGAAGGCAGCTTTGGGGACCTGATACCTATTGAGTAGACTTTCCTTCAGCACACTTCCTGAACACATGGGGTGTGCAGCTCCTGATCCATGGAGGGGTCCCGGGGGGTGCTAACACGTCTTCTCTTAGAAGGCTGCAGTGTAAGAGAACAAAGAAGTGTTAAGACAGGAGCCCCAACAGCTCAAGTAGTGAGTGCAGTCCTACATGAGAGTGTATCACTGTAAGGTATACATGCCTGTCAAGTACGTATGAGTCCAAGGTGCAAACACCAGCAAACCCACTAAGTTTCTCCTGATGGAAACTTCAGTAAGGTAAGTTAAGAGAGAAGGCACAGCCAGGTGGCCGGTTGCTTAGAGGAAGGAGCAACTGTGTATGGCAGGGGATAGTGTGTTTAGGGCTGGGCATGGTGGGGAGGGATGTAGCAGGCAGGCTGCATGAGGAAGTTGTGTTTGCGATGTCTCTCAGGGACCCCAGCTGCATGGCAGGGAGGCGTGGAGAGTTCGGGGCTCCTTTGGTTGTGGGGCGTCTAGGGAAATGGGTTAGGTGGAGAGTCAGGCTGGGGGCTGTATGTGCCTTGGTGACTCGGCCCTCTCCCTGCCAAGCCTCACTCTGTCCCCCTTTCTTCCTGGCAGCAGAGCCCCCTCCCTTGCTGCACTCAGGGACATGCCTGTCAGCACTTCTACCCCCCCTCAGACTTCACTGTCAGCACGCAAGTCTTCAGGGACATGAAAAGCAGCCACTCCTTACAAAAGGTTGGGGAGCCCTGGTGTCTGGAGGTAGGTCTCGGAGCAGAATGACGGTATGAGATGAGCCAGCCCTGAAATGAAGCCACCCATCCAAAGTTTACCTCACATGAGGGCAGGGCCCATGCTTCCACCTTCATCCCCGAATTCTCCTTGAGTCACTTTCATTCCAGGTGCCATGATGTCTGGCCATACTGACCACTGATAGGGAAATCATAGCCATAAAGTTGCCACTTTACAAGAAGAGGGTGGAGGCCATGCCGGAGTGGATGCAGGATGCCCAGCTGGCTCGTAAAGGCCACGTGACCCAGTGTCACACGCAAGAATGCACATTATTCCATCAGACTTGAACCTAGAAAGCAATTTCCTGGGGCTCTTTATGGCTCCCACTGGAAGGGAAGCTATTGGCTCAACTTTGCCATTGCTACTAGCAATTAGCAGTCTATAGTATAGATTTTCTTTTCAAATTCAGGGTGCTGAGAAATGCCTCCCACCTCACAAGATCCCTGGCTAGCCGAGGCAGGCACAGCCCCATGACTGCTCCCAGATGTTCTCCAAGGACAGGAAGCATTGTTAATTTCCTTTAAATAATTCAATGCAATGTCAATACCCCACGCGACTCTGTGCTCCGGGAGTGACAGCTCTCTTCAAATTAGTAGTCCCAAGAATAAAGAACTTCCAGAACATTCTTTCATCTTCAGGAAAGCAAACATCAATGCAGACTTTCAAAAAAAAAATTAAAGTAACTCTTAGATTTAGATAGAAGATGATGTTTTGGTTTTCATGAATATTCACAAGCCAATTAGTGGAGTCTTTTAAAACCAATAATTGTGTCCCTACTAGGTGCTGAGTGTATGCTGTATGTTAGAGGGTACTGGGTTAGAAAATAGAGTTTCTCTAGTGGGCAGAATGAGCACCTGGAGAGAGATGGAGCATGCACACATATGTCTTGCCTCTAGAGAGGGAAATTGCAGAAGAAGTCATGTTAAAACCCTTGTTCTACTTAAGAAACAGTAAACAGCCATTTAGGAGAACCAGAGACACGTAGAAAAACATGTAGAAGGCACGTCACACCCAGCCCCTCATACGACCTGTTGATCATCTCGTTTTTGATGAGTTTCTTTAGCCATGCATGTTCACAGACTTCAGAAGCATTGATGTTGGGGTCGTACTGACACCGTTTTGTGTTCTCTTCTCTCCCGCCGTAACGGCAAGGAATGCTCTCCTTTGTTACAGCATATGCTAGGAAGACCCTACGTTCGGGTCCTTGGAATTCCTGTGCTCTAACCATTACTCTTCATTCAAGTGGGGATAAAACAGATGGGTGTTCTGAGGGCTTTGAACCTCTCCTGCTCCCTTACCTCTGACATGCCTGTGATTGGACTGTACGTACACTCTGATTACCTGCTGTGTGTGTGCAAGTGTTTAGCTGGTTCAGCGTGGCAGGGCACCGAGGCTTCCACTCTGAAGTGGCTGTGACCTGGTGGAAGCTTTTCTTAGCAAATCCTGCCTGGTCAGCTTTTCCTAAGCCTAGTAGCTCATTCTGACTCTCAAGGATAAGGCTACCCCACCAGGCCCGGCAGATTAGGCTAGCCCACCTGGCCTGGCAAAAGGTAATTCGTTAACCTTTGGTCAGAGTTGGGACATGGATAAAGGAGCACCAGGTGCCTGTTCTAATATGAGGAAATGGAATAGAAAGACTGGCTCTCTTCCTTGTAGCTCAAGATTTGCAGGAGCCGATTAGAACCCTGGCGCCAGAGACTGTGAACATTTCTTCTGCTTGTCCTTAGTACAGAAAAAAACAAAAAGCCTGATGAAGGATAAACCCACAGATTGTGACTAGGCCAGGCACAAAGGTGCTGATTATGAACGTTACCAAACTGCTCTCTGCCTCGGTTTCCCTATCCTATAGATAGGCGTGTACAAAACCAGTGTATGTGAGAGAGCTATGAACGTTACCATACTGCTCTCTGCCTCGGCTTATGTTTAACATGGCTAGTACTCACCACTCCAGGAATTCTGGTGGAGTGTGAAAACTCTGACCTGTGGTGTGAGCACTCTAGAAATGACTCGAGGGAGCCAGACGATTGGCAGTCTGCACACAGCAAGCCCCGAGTCTGTCACCTCGATTGGCAAGGCTCTCGCTTCTCCTTGATGCAATGCCTGGATGTGTAAAAAGCCTGGTAATGGAATACTGGCCAGGCTTGCTCCACTGGGTACCCAGGGAGATCCTTTGACATTTCACACAGACTTCCTGTGGCCCTGCATGACTGTAAAGGATTGTACTACTGTATTAACTCTTTGGACCCCAACAGCAGCCTTAAGAGGCAGCGCTGCACACGCCCATTCCGCAAATAGAGGTAACTGAGCAAGAGCCATGGAGCAGCTTAAGATCACACAGCTAGAGAGTGGGTGCCATAAAATGCTGCTAATGACAGATTGCTGTTGTTCATGGTTCAGTATTTTCTCCACTTTCCAGAGGGAGGGTGCATTTGATCCTGTTTGCCACCCCGCATTCTTGGGAATTGCAGTAAGTGTCTCAGTTAGGAGATATTCCACATCATCTCTGATCAACACCCATTGTCCTCCTGTCCTCCTCTTGTTGTTCGGCGGAGGTCCTAACCTTTGCCGTCTCTTCCCTTAGGGAATTCAGTAGATAGACGGGTTGAGTAAATATGACTAAGAAAGTCAACACCCACCTGGGCAGGCATGAGTCACTTCTTTCTAGTTAGCTATTCACGTACATTTTAAAGCTGGCCACACAAACTCACTGCACTGGGGCTGTGAATAGTGACAATGACAGGGTGTGACACAGCATAACTGCCTTCAGATAAAAGCGTTTTTCCTGGAATTGCTTAGTCACTACCATGCCACCGAAATACCTGCAGACAAACTTCTCAACTAGTTTTTGTCAGAAGCCTTCTCTCCGTCACTGTGTCCTTCCTCTTTGGGGGGCGGTCTATAAACTTTCCCAGTCGGTGACTGGGGACTACTAAAATGGTACACTCACTCTGTCTATTCAGCTTTTATTTTTATTTTTGGTTGACTTGCCCTCTGGCTAGCATGGAGCCTTTTTTTACTTCATTTTTAGGTGTGTGTTTTCAGAAAGGACCAGATTAGGGATGTGCCTTACTCCTTAGCCTCACAACCTACACATGTAAGGGGGAAAGCCGGTGCTGCTCACAAAGCCAGCGTGGAGACAGGGAGCTGACCAGTTGGAGAGAGGAAATGAAACTGTTCTTAGGTTTATTAGACCACATCCTATAAGTCTGTGGCTTCTTACATGTCTGATTTCTAAAAAGCATGGCGGCACAGCTGGCTTTATTTTTGCTTATTCGTCATTTAAAACAAATAAAGATGTTACTTCATTTCCCGAGTTCTTCATTTTTCAGCTTTATATGGAAGATTTATAAATCTTTGTATTATAACTCGACGTTAGCAAGCATTCAGCTACTCCCCCCCCAAATAAAAGCAGAGTTTACCCCTTAATTAGAAGCAGCCTGAGCAACAATGTCAAACGCACCCCCTAAAGGCAAAGTTTGAGTTTGGATGAGCTTGCAGTGTTCCAAAGCTGAGCTTCAGAGTCATGGGGGGCTCATGTCGTGTAGGATCCCCCCTTGTTTTGCGACTCTAACGTACCATGCTTTCCTGTGCACGCAGGGAGGTCTACTAACTTCTCCTCGCTCTCCGTTCTAAAGTGGGGAGCGCTTGCCGTTGCTCCGGAGCAAGCGTGACTCATCTCTATGTTTCACTGCTATAGGGCACTTGACAGAGGGTATACATAGAAAATACTGCAGAGGGAGGTTCTGGAATAGTTTATGATGCCCACCCCCCAATGTATGAACCATGGTTTCCTTCTGTACGGAAATTGACCAGCAATCCCCTCTTCCCATCCATACTTGCTTGACAAGGTATAGTCTCATCACTGTGGTCTTCTAGGCTAATGAGGACATGGTCCTCTGTCACTCTGAAGTCCCACCCAGGTGTTTCTCATGCCTCAGTGAGGTCACATCCTAGTGTATGGGAGTATGGTGTAGTTCCAGTCCACTCATCTGACACTTGCTGATCACAAGGAGGGTTGTGTTCCATGGCCTCTGTCTGATGATTATCACTCGTTAGACTGAAAAAACTACATCACTATGGATGTTATTGTTGCTTTGAACACTTGTCTCCTACCCTTGAGCTGGTATATGGGATAAGAAGTCCCTGCTGTGTGGGACAGTCATCTCAGGAATTCACTTGCGGAAGGTGGCTGGCTCTTCTGCCTTGTGTAAAGCCTTGGGGGTCCAGCTGATCTTGCTAACCGGACAGTCTTTGGCTTTTAACTCGGTGCCTGCCTCTGTTTCCCCCTTCTGTGCTAGTCACATGTTTTCTCCACATCCTTGACTCAAGTCATGAATAAGGAAGACTCAGGCCTCTGTGGGTGACAGCTTGCTTCTTTGAGGTGAAAGATTGGATTTTCATGGGCTAGATTATATCAAGAGACAGTATAAATCAGCACCAAGACCCTCTGTTCTTATAAGTCCCCCCCCCCCCCAAATAAGAACAGTACCTGGGCTCTGACATTATCTACCACCTCTACCTTCCTCTCGCATTGTCTCTCTGGTTCTGAGTTCTTTCCTGTTACCAGTCTCTTCAGTGAAGTAGACGGTTTGGACTTGGACATAGAGGGAAAACACTCCTGCTCTGGAATGAGGCTTTCTTGTATATTAAGGGCGTTACTGTGGTGTAAGCAGAGTGGAAGCTCTTACTTGTCAGACCTCCTCCTCCCTGGGTCCTGTGAACCTCATTTGAAAGGCATTTATTGTCTCTGCTACTAGTTTAGCAAGAGCCTATAAAAGAAGTTTGGTCACCCTCTGCCCTTCACACAGAACTTCCTTCCTCTACCCTGTTTCTGAAAGGACGTTTCAAGCCTGTTTGCATTAAAAGAAAAAAATCAGATGTGTGTTGGGGGGAATGTATGTGTGTGTGTGTTGGGGGTGTGTATGTGTGTGTGTATGTGTGTATGTGGGGGGATGTGTGTGTGTGTGTGT